GATCTTCCTAGCAGTGGCGAATTTTGAGCAGAATGAGAGGGGTCAGGAGTTCTCTGTAATATACAAGTGGAGCCGCAGGAAAGCGAAATTCATCACGTACCAGCGGATCACCACGCACAGCGCCAGGGACTGGGAGGCCTTTGTCATTGAGGGAGAGGCTTTCCTCGCTGTGGTCAACCACAGAGAAGGTACCCAGCCCTCATATTCCCTACAGGCCCTGGGGTGACATCTGGGACCATGACAAGTGCCCCGCCACAGGTACCTGCTCAGAGCATCCTCCGGTTGCTGTGGAAACCCCGCGGCTCCCTGTGCATCCTCTGCTGGAGCAGAGTGCAGGGCAAAGCCAGGGAGATGTGCACGCAGCTGGGAGCGTGGTGTCCTTCAGGAAGCCCGAAGCCATGCAGACCCTCCCATTATAGGGGAGAAGAGTGTTTGGGGAAGTGGCTGATGCAGTCCCCCTCTGGGTTTCTGGCAGCAGAAGACAAGGACAAGAGTGGGGACAGTGTCTGTGCTGAATCTCTCTGCTTCTTTTCATTTTTATCCCCAGTGCTACGTAACCTGGTAGCACCCCAGGCTGAGCCTTTTGCACATGGGAAACTGAGGGAACCTGAGTGAGAGCCTGCTGACATCCCTCCCTCCCTCCCCAGGCACCCTGCAGACATGATCCAGCCTTGTTCCCCTTCCCAGGCCCTGGGAGTAGTTCTGTGCTGGGACATGCACTCCTCAGCATGGAGGGATGAATGGGTCGATAGCACAGCCCTGGCTCTCCAGGATGCTCCCAGCTGGGTTCAAAACACTCAGCTAATGGGCTCTCTCCCTGCCATCAGGGCTGGCTCCAGGGAAATCAGCTCCTCTGGCACCAGGCTCGGAGCTGGTGGCAGGTTCCTTGGGCACCTGTGAGCTGGGCTGGAAACTCCACGTGTCACCTGTTGGACCCCACCATGGCCAGTTTGGATGAGACCTATTCCCATGGCATTGTGGTCCCTCCAGCAGACATGCACGCAGGGGTTAAGACCATCATGGCTAAGCCAACCTGGGGATGTTTCCCTTGGAGGCAGCGAAGAGCTGCCACTTATCCATGTGGCCATTCCTACACACTCTCCCTGCAGCCTTTCCTGCCCAAGTCCCTTCTGCTGCAATGAGGATTTAAAGCCAGCTGGGTCCCACACAGGTGTGAGGTCGAGATGCTCGAGCAGAGCCCAGGAGCTGGATGGAGCACATGCTCTGGTGCTGGGGGGCAGCCCACGATGCTGGGAGCTGAGGGACATGGCTGGGACTGGCCCCACCACACAGAGCCACCCCGTGGGACAGCCAGCAGAACTTGGCTGCCCTGGGACGCTGGCACGGTGCCTCTGGGCTACTGCTGCTGTGGGGACATGGCACCCACCTGTCCCTCCTCTGCCAGGGCTGCCACAAAGCTGCCACCGTACGCTCAGGACAAGCTGCTGGTGTGTGCCATGGGATGGAGGCTCTAGGTAGGGATAGAGGCTCTAGGTATAGGTGGAGCCTCTAGACAGGAATGGAAGCTCTGGTTAGGGATGGAGGTTCTAGGAAGGGGTTGAGGCTCTAGACGGGAATGGAGACACGAGATAGGGGTGGAGGCTGTAGAATCTCTTCAGCTACTTCTTGGGCAACAACAGGTGACATGCTGGCAAAAATTCACGTGGCTGAACCTGTTTCTTAGACAAGCCAGGTATCCCTTTCCCTCATGGTGCATGTCTGTCCATCTGTCTTCCCCAGGGAACAACCACAATATAGATAGTGTGATATACAGGTGGAACCCCAGGACAGGGTTGTTTGAAACTAACCAGACCATTCCTACCTCTGGAGCCTACGACTGGGAATTTTTCACCATCGGACCGTATTCCTTCTTGGCTGTAGCTAACACATTCAATGGCACATCCACTAAGATCTACTCACACATCTACATCTGGCTCAGTGGTTCTTTCCAGCTCTTCCAGTCTATCCTGGTAAGGCTTGCCTATTGCTCCTCAGTCCCCCTCTGGGTTTAGGTGAGCCAGCTTGTCTCATGGTCTCCCTCCCCACAGACATTTGGTGCTGCCGACTGGGAGGTTTTTCATATTGGGGACAGAGTCTTCCTGGCTGTTGCCAACAGCCACAGCTATGACAGTGGGATGCCAGCGCCCTCCAACTTCTATGCCATCAACTCCTCCATCTATGAGCTGAACATCACCGCTCAGATGTTTGTTAAATTCCAGGACCTTCTCACCTACAGGTACCTTTACTAGCAGTCAGGGTGCTCCTCAGGCCATGTCCTTCCCCTGAGCAGCCCAGAGGTGTCATAGAGTCATAGAATGGTTTGGGGTGGAAGGGACCTTAAAGATCATCTCATTCCAACCTCCTTGCCCTGGGCAGGAACACCTTCCACTAGATCCAGTTGCTCCAAGCTCTGTCCAATTTGTCCTTGGACCCTTGCAGGGATGGGGCAGCCACAGCTTCCCTGGGCAACCTGTGCCACAGCCTCTCCTCTTTCAGTTTAAAACTGCACTCGCTTGTCTCCAGGAGCGTTCCTGCAGGTTTTCACACTGCCAGGGACTGAGACTGGTGGAGAGGGTGATGGGTGACAGCTCCTTGGCACCAAATCCCAGTGGGAGCTGGGAGAAGGCCCTGGATTTGGGAACGAGGCTGGATTTCTTTCGGGAGCAACCTGGGAAGAGCAGGGTTTTCTGTGTGTCATCAGGGTGGCAGAGATTGGAGTGGGGTGGGCTCAGCCCCATGGACACACAGCCCCTTCTTCAGCTGGCCACACAGGGGCCCCCTCACCTGCCCCTCTGCTTTCTTCATGCCCAGTGCCCTGGACTGGGAGTTCTTCTCGGTGGGAGACGACTCTTTTCTGGTGGTAGCAAACTCCTTCGATGGCTTCACCTTCTCCGTTAACAGTATTATCTACAGGTACTGCGGAGGGCAGGGTTGGGGAGCTTGGGCGTTGTTCCCAGCAGGAACGACCCTGCATGGGTGTAACCTGGTGCGTCTGCCCAGGGAGGATGGATAGGACTGCTCCCTGCTTTCAGGCAGGAATGAGGAGCCCCAGTGAAGGACATCCCACGCTGAAACAGGGTGGAAGTGGGAGATGCCAGCCCCAGGGCTCGGCTTTCCTGCCCCTCCCAGGTGTCCTGGGAGCTAACTGCCCTTCCCGTGCAGGTGGCAAGGCTACGAAGGCTTCGTGGCAGCCCATCACCTCCCCACCGTCGGCTGCAGGGACTGGGAGGTGTTCCACACCGCTGAGGGCTCCTACCTGCTCTACTCCAGCGCCAAGGAGCCGCTTTCCAAGGTGCTCAAGCTGAAAACCACCTGAGGTGGCTGAGACATGCTCAGCTCATCGCCAGGACGGGGGCGAGCTGGGCATCCAGGTGAAGATGGACCGCAGAGCCCAGGAACGGCTGCAGCGTCAGCCGGGCAGTGGCTGGCTGTGCACTCTGCAGGAAGGGGAGGAGGAGGAGGAGGAGGAGGAGGAGGAGGGAGCTCCAGGGCTCCCTGCAGCCTTGTCTGGGGGCTGGCAAAGGGGCTGAGGCCCTGCTTTGGTGCTGTTTCTCCTGGGAAAGCTCTCCCACCATGCTTCAGAGCCATGTCCTACACAAGGTTCCTGGCACCCAGGTGCTTCCCAGGGCTCACTGGGACCTGACACTTGGCAGTCTCCAGCCAGGAGGGACCCAGAGGTGCCAGTGGCTGTGGCCAGAGGTTGCACAAAGCCAGGGAAGGAAGAGACTGAGCAGAGCATGAGCTGGCAGGGTGGGTGCATGGCAGAGGGGAGTAAACATGTGAGAAACTGCGGAAAAAGGTTGGTCCAGGCTTGGCTTTGGCTGCCCAGTGCCTGGTGCTGCGATGCTGCTGAGGACCATCTGGTTTGACATTGCAGCCACTCTTGGTGTCACCTTTGGTGGCATCACCACCCCTAGACACTGCTGCGGGTGCCTTCCCCCCCTGCCGCTCTGCTGTGGCTGGTTTGGGTTGTCCTTGACATGTGACGTGTGTGTTGTACAAGCCCGTCAGTGTGTACAAGGACCAGTGCTTGTCCTTGCACACCTTTGCCTGGGGTTAGCGACTCCTGAGAAAACCTGCTATGCATTTGGACAAATCCAACTACCACGGGCATGGGAAAGATCCAAAACTGCGCCAGGTGAAACTGTGGCCTCTTTTCTTTTCCTTGCCTTTGCTTGGGGACTCTTTTGCTTAACCAGAGCTCTAATAAACTGTGTGCACCCAGCCTTCATCCCATGTGAGTACCCAAACTGCTCTGCCCATGGCAGAGGCATCCCTTCACCCAACAAGTCACCCCCGGATGAGGCGGAGCCGTGTCCATGTCCATGAGGATGAGGTGGCCCTGAGCACAGCAGTGTGCTGGGGTGAGGGTGCCCCTCTGTTCCCCCCCACCCAGGACCCTCTGCCTCACCTGACTGTCCCAGAGCATCACTCAGTCTTCCCCAGGCCCAGGTTTCCTGCTGGAGCTGGGCCACCCACCCTGGAGCTGGGGAGCCCTCAGGATGTGCCAACCCTGCAAGAAGGACTGAGGAGTCACAGCTTGAGCTGCCCCAGGGTACAGACCTGGGAGAGGCTCTGCATCCCTTCCTCCTCCCCCTGTTCATTGCAGCTGCACCTGGCTCTGCCAGGAAGGACCATTTCTCGCTTGTGAAATGAGGGAAAATTTGATTTGCTTCCATCACGCCAAGCCACCAGCGGCAACTCAAATTCAGCTCTGAGAAAGGGAAAGATGAGGCAAGATGTACGAGATGCATTTGGGCAGCTGGTCCCTGCTTGAGCCAGGCTGGGCTGAGGGTGGAAGGGATGGCACCTAATGGAAGTCACGCTGGTACATTGGATTTAGGCTGGTCTGCTTTGGGAGAGATTGAAATAGGACAAGATCAAACCCCCCGAGCACCACCCTCTGCCCCAGACACCCAGCTCTCAGCGTAGCACAAACCCTGAGGCTTTTCCTGTGTGTGGGGCTTTATTGAGGAGCCAAAGGTTTGGGAGATCCCCCCACCCCAGGTTGCTGGAGGCAGGCAGAGGCTGCTGAGATGCCACGCGGAGCGTTGGGGATGACGTCCTGCTTTCCACAGGGCTTGGAGCCAGGATGGGGTGACCCTACTGCAGTGACCCTCGGCACCCCAGTGACCTCCTGGCCCCACAAACCCCCACCCCCATCTCTTCCCACCAGGTGCTTGACCTGTGCAAACTACGAGCGTGTGGCTGGGGCTGCATTCCCTGCGAGCCCAGCTCTGGCAGGGAAAAAGGGTCTGGCTGGGTGTATTCACCCCCAGGAACATGGTCTGTGTGGACAGGTCTGCGTGAGGTGTCCCCAGCATCCCTCCCCGTGTCCTTTGCTCACGCTCAGTCCAGTGTTGCTGGGGAGGGGCGGTCGGTGGCACTTGTGTGCAGGATTGGAGCAAGCACTGGGGGAATCCCACCAAGAAGCTTTGAAGCCCACAAGTTGGCCGCTGGCTCCCTGCAAAGAAGCTGTGAGCTGGCACCCCAACCCCGCACTACAAGGCAGTGCTGGTGGTCTCTGCGTGGTCCTGGGTGCTCGGCAGTGACCTCAGGTAATCCACGTGCTTGCAGGCGTCCTCCTGGTTGTGCCGGACGTAGCAGATCACGTAGACGATGACCATGGCGAACCAGCCGAACATGGTGATGAACATGGCCACGTCTGTGGTCCTCTGGCGCACGCTGCAGAAGTTGACGCCGGCATCCAGGACCTGGAGCAGCGGCTTGCCCACGTATTCCTCCCGTGGGGCCGTGTGGCAGGTGATGTCCTGGACAGAGTCAGGATCCAGTCGTGCCTCCCACAGCACCTCCTGCAAGGCGCACTCGCAGTGCCAGGGGTTGTTGGCCAGCCGGAGCTTGGCATTGAGTGCCAGCAAGGCCTCCTTGGGAATGCTGCGGATGCGGTTGCTGGAGAGGTCAAGGGTCCGCAGCCCTGCTGCCACCCCTTTGAAAGCCGCCCTGTCGATCTTCTCAATGGCGTTCCTGGAGAGATCGAGTTCCTCCAGGTGGGAGAGGTGCCTGAAGGCATTGCTGGGGATCCTGGTGATGCTGTTGGCATCCAGCTTGAGGAACACCGCGTCTCTGGGGATGTCCTTGGGGATCTCCTCCAGGTGGCGGGAGCTGCAGAGGACGGCCTTTGCCCCTGCCCGCTCCGTGCACTGGCAGCTGGGGGGGCAGGAGCTGCCCCAGGGGACGCAGAGCAGAAGGCAGAAGAAAGCCTGGGCCACACTGGCGGCCGGTGTGGTGGTGGTGAAGGTCATCTTGCAGCCGGGCAGCTCAGCGTGGCTGCCGGCAACTCCCCGGGGGCGGCAGCAGCTCCTGGGCAGCAGGGCGGCCCCTCGGCGCTCCTGCAAAGCCTCTCCCATCGCTGGAGGGAAGCGGTGGGTGGAGGGGATATGACACGGCATTATTTCCTGGAACATTGTGTATGGCTCATGTGTGATGTGCCCTGGCAAAGGGGTGGGAGGCTGGGCTCAGGAGCTTGGAAAACAAGGGTGGAGTGACACTGGCTACCATCTTGTCCAGAACAGCTTAATTTGGCCTAAGTTTAATTATACACAGAGATGCAGAGAATGAAACCCCTGCCCCCATCTCTGCAGAGACCACCCAGGTAGACAAAGGGTGCTGCAGGAAGGAGGTGTGGAGGCAGGTCCAGCCTGGGAGCCTCTGCCCCATCCTGCTGCCAGTTTCCAGGAGCAATGTGATGCAGAAGCAGCAGTAAATTCCTATCTTACCAACACTGAGTGTTTAAAAAAAATGATGAGTCAGACTGCACGGATCATCAGACTGACTTAATCACCACCGGGGTTTTAAATAACGAAATGTGGAGCTCTTTTGCTTTCCCTCCCCTTCTGGTCCATGAGCTGGTAAAAGTCACATTTCCAAGGGTTTCGCCAAAGAAGGGTTTGGAGATGAGTTTGCTTTTTAAAGTAAACAAAGAGTAAGGTTTGATAGCCTAACTCTGGGGGCTGGATGTGAAGAGAGGAGCTGCTATCACAGTAAAGGGGGAGATGTGGAAACCCCAAGGGACACCCCAGTGCTGTCAGGGGCAAGGCAAGAGGTGAAGCAGGTGGGACACCTTTTCTCTGCCTTTGGTGCTGCTCACACCTCTCCTGCTGCCTTGGCCAGCCTGGGGGGAAGAAATCTCCATGGAAGGAAGGGTGAGAGACCAAGGGAGCCTTTCACCTGGGAATTAAATGGCCCGTGGTGATGTCATTAGGGGCACTAAGTTGTTGTCCCCCCTGGTAGCAGCATCCTTCTGCTAATGGCATTCCCCTGGGAACAGCAGCATCCCTCAGGTGTGAGCATCCTCAGGGTACCCCAGGGGGATGCTCACACCCGAGGAATGCTCATACCCGAGGGATGCTCATACCCGAGGGATGCTCATACCGGGTGGATGCTGCCCGTGTTTTAGCCCGTGGCCCTGCCCAGGGCACTGTGGGCTCTGCCAGAGGAGATGAAGTTCTGCTTCCCGGGAATTCCTCTTGGCCCTACGAAAGGTACCGGGCTCCGCCAGCTCCGTCTCTCCGGGGGAATGAGGGCGAGTTATGCGATGCCGGTTCTCACCGCCTGGAAGGGCTCAGAGGGGCTCTGAGGAGTAGCAGCCTCCCGGACCCCAGGGGTGTGCGGGGGCGATGCCCCGACCCGCTCTCCTGCCCCGCCCCGAGCCGGGACCCCGGCGGGCGGCACGACCGCCCTCCGCCACCCCCCGCCGCCCCGAAGCCCCGGGGATCCCTTACCGGCTCCTCCGGGGCGGCTCCGGATGCGGGTTCAGTGCCAGTGCGGGTGAGGTGCGGTGCCGGTGCGGGTGCGGTGCCGGTGCCGCTGCGGTGCCGGTGCCGGTGCCGGTGCCGGTGAGGGTGCGGTGCCGGTGCGGTGCCGGTGCCGGTGAGGGTGCGGTGCCGGTGCGGTGCCGGTGCCGGTGAGGGTGCGGTGCCGGTGCCGGTGCCGCTGCGGTGCGCGGCGGCTCGGCCGCGATCGTGCTCGGCCCCACCTGTTGCTGCGGCCGCTCCCAAGGAGCCCCGGGCCGGGCGGTCCCGCCGCGGCGGCACCGGGCGGTGCGGGGGCGGTGCGGGAGCGGGGGGGCGGTGCGGGGAGACGAGGGGAGTGGGACCCGGGGGCCAGGGCGGTGGAACAGCCAGGCAGCACCCCCACGGGGCTGCAGGAGAGTGGCCGCATGGAGCACCCCTGTACGGAAAATTAAGTGCTGATAATGAGGTTTCAGCAATTTTCCGGAGGCTGCCGTCCAGACTCCGGGTCTGGAAGCTTGATCAGCTGCTGTAAGGGGCGATCGCCCCTTCCCTCCCTGGCCATGCCTCCAGGCTGGACCTCCCTGCACCCGTGTGGGCTGTCAGCAGATGGTCTCCTGACCTCTCAGCAATGGGAGACCAGGAGCAGACATCAAAAAGTCCACGAGAAATGGGAGAAGGTGCCGTGCCAACACCTTGGAGCACATCTCCCATATCGACTCCAAAGAGGTCAAATCATCTCAAACACCCATGTCTAGTAGAAGGTGTTCCTGCCCATGGCAGGGGGTTGGAAAGAGATGGTCTTTAAGGTCCCTCCCAACCCAAAGCACTCTGTGATTCAGCCATCGTTGGGGGTGAGTCAACAAGCAAAGTGAGTTTGTGCAACAAGATTGGGGTGAGAACATTCAAACTGGGCTCATCCTGGAAGTGTGCTCCAAGCATGGCCTTCAGGAATGGCCCCTGTTTAAACAGCATAAGAGACCACCAGCCTGTAGTTATTTAATACATGGTTTATTGAGCTGGGTTGAATACATTGCCAAAATGAGCCCCCTCTCCTCGCCAAGCCCCAGTGCGTCACTGGTGAAACTGCCTTTGTGCTGTGGTGGCCACCAGTGTGGGATGAATAGCCCAGGCTGGTCAGTGTCTGATCCATCAGGAGAGGGTGGGGGAACTGAAATCCCACCCTGAGCAGTCCCAAGCATAACCTGCTACTGTGGGGCTCTTCTGGGTGACCAAAAAGTGTCTTCACTGTGCCTAGTTCTCCCCATGGCGGGCAACAGAAAATGTGAGGGAAAGACCCCTTAAAAGCAGGGATATCTGGGATTGACACACTCCTGTCCCCTCTCCGGTCCCTTCCTGCTCCACGGACCACAGAGCACGGATCACCTAGTCCCAGCAAGCTGCCCCTTTCCATCCACGTGCACCAGGGGATGGGGACAGGCAGGTGACATTTAGCTGGTGCCTTGGCTCAGACAGAGGGAGGGAGTTCAGCGACAAGCCGGAGCTCAGCATACACACGCAGGATTACATCTCAGTGTGGGGCATGGCAGGTGGGCCAGTGCAGAGCTATGAAACCATAGATATATAAGCAAGAGCTGCTCACACCTTTGGAAGTGCTGGGTCACAGCTCAGGACCATGTTGTTGGGTCTGAGACAACCAAAGATATGGAGACAGCTGCCACAGGGGTGACTCCAAGCCTTCTCCAGAGCAATCCTTTGGGATCTGTGGCACGGGGGCTGCCAGGGCTCAGAGCAGGAGCAGGGAGCAGAGACGGATATCCTTGTGGAGTAGTTGGGGCTGGTGAGCCCTCAGTGCCCACCCCGAAGCCAAGAGCAGGTTGGAGCTGAGGGAGGGATCACCTTGCAGGAACAGTCCTGTGGCTCTGCATGGCCCAAGCTCTGGGCTAGTGCTGTGGGCTAATGTGGAAGCACCAAGACACAAACTGGGGCTGAGCTTGGTCGCTCAGGTGACTGGGATGCACTGTCTAGGCAGCCCCCGCCCCCAAGAAGGGGACACTTTTCCTCCCAGAGACCTGCAATGTACATTCACAGAAGCACCCAAAGTACCTCATGTCCAGCAGCTCCCATGGTCTCACAGGTGAACTGGGGTGGAGCTGCAGGTCCCAGCCAGAACCTGCTCTGGGGCAGCAGGAGCCCTGGCCTGTGCTTGAGGCCTCAGTAGTAAGCACCAAGGAGGGTTGAGACCTTGTGTAGGAGCTCCTTGTGGTTGGCATGCAGGGGGATCCTCTTATCCAGCACCTGCCAGCGGATGCACAGCTCCGGGTCGCAACCCTGAAGGAACTGGAAGGGGACAGACATCATAGATGTGCTGCTGGTGAGGGGCCATGCCAGCCACACTCAGCAGCACTTCTAGTCCCCAACCTCCCGCCCTTTCTTTTTGGGGCACACATTGGGGTGGCACCCCATGTTCATCCCCATGTTATTCCCCCACTCTGTGCAGCTGGAGAATCCCACTCCTGCTGAGAGGTGGGTCAGGGAGCCATGGGGTGACAGCCCCGTACCGAATTCAGCCGCTTCATCTCCACGTCGTTCTGGTTGTCGAAGTGGACACTGACAGCGACCGTCTCGACCCAGGCGTTGTCCGTGTTGCGGGGGTCATCGAGGTACCCCTTGTGTACCTGTGCTCAGTGACAGAGTTGCCACATCAGCAGAGCCCCCACCACATCTCTGAGGGCACCAGAGGCCCTGGGGGTGGTGGGGTATTGCCCTGCAGCTCCTCTGCCCCACTGGAGACCAGCACCCCATTCCCACTGCAACTGGAGCCATGGAGAGCGACTGCAGCAGGCACAGACACTGGAGTGGGCAGCCACCCCCCGCTCTCTGGGCTGCTCCAGACCCCCCACACATGCATTACTGCATGTCTCCACCTCCTCCAGCCATTCCTCCCTGGTGGGAGCAGTGGCCACCAGTGGCCCCTGTACCCTGGGGTGCCCATGTGGCCCTGTGACACCATGAATGGACACATGTCTCTGTACTGTGGAGATGTCCCCATGTGCCTCTACTGCCCGGGGTGATGCCTGCATGCCCCCATCCCAGTGGGACACTCACGTCACCCAATACCACTGGGATACCCGTGTGCCCCCACCTCAGTGCCTTGTTTCAGCAAGTTCTGGAACTGGGGCCAGAACTCTCGTCGGAGGATCCACTTGAGCTTCAGTGGCAGTGTCTCCCCCGGCTCCAGTGACCCCTGTGCCAAAGGAGATGTCAGCCATATGGCCTGCCATCAGCACAGCCCAGCCTCCCTCCCTGCCACCAGCTTGGCCATCAGGCAGTTGCCAGCCACCACTGCAGATGATGCCACAAGCTCTCGTGGTGCCTCCTTTCCTCCCTCTCCCGCCTGAAGTCCTCAGCTCTGCCCAGGCAGATGTCTGAATGTGCCTGGTGCAATGTCTGTGAGAGGATGCTTTGCCAATGGCTTAACATGCTCACAATGAAGGACATGTGAGAACTGAAGCTATGGAGGAGGAGGAGGAGGGAAGAGGCAGGAGACAGGGGCTCAGGTGTGTGGGTGTTTGTAATGGGACCATTGCTCACCCAGCAGCCCTGGCATGCAGATGCTCTGCAGGAGGGTCAGAGGTACCTCCTCAGCCAAGGCCACAACATGTACCTGTCATTCCCCCTTTTCTGTGGGACATCCATCCATCCATCCATCCATCCATCCATCCATCCATCCATCCATCCATCCATCCACTGCTCCCATCTCCCATCTCCATCTTCTGCACCAGCTGTTTTCCCCCAGGTCTTACCCCAGGCAGAGCCCAGACATCTGACAGTGGGTACTGGGCTACCAGCACTTCCAGCATCTTCTTCAGACTCTTCCTTATAATGGACCCATCCAAATTCCTCCTCCAGCTGTGAGAGAGGCCCCTGTCATGCTGCAGCTGCACTTGGCTCCCCTCCTCCCAGCAGTGGTCATATTGGCAGAACTGGGTTTGGCCAGGTCCCAGTCTCTCCAAGGTGCTTCCATGCCCCCTTTCCCATCCCACATGCCCAGCCCTGTGCTGGAGCAGGACACCTTCATGTCCCCACACACTCACCGGGTCACGACAGGATGCAGGGCATGGTTGGGCCCAAAGCAGTGCAGCCTCCCACGGCCTCGCAGCCCCGTCCTGCCCATGGGGTTCCTGTCAGAGTGAGAGTGAGGGGGTTGGCATGGTGCCACAATCCCTCTGTGCACCCCTATAGCACTTCCCTACCACTGCACCCCACCTCTTTTGGGGTGCTGTGGTGGTTTTTTGGGGATGAGCCCTGAGCACGATGCATGCCATTATCCCTGCCGCACCGTTAGCCATAGGAAAGCGGGATGGGCTCAGGTGCCCCTAGAATCTGTCTCCTGGTGCTTGCCTCCCACCCCAGCTCCCAGCTCCCTGTGGTGGCTGCACTCACAGTGGCAGCCCGTCCCGCACGGCGTAGAGCCCGTGGAAGCTCTGCCGGTCGATCAGCCCATCCATGGTGTTGTAGTTGATCTTCAGGAGAGACTCCAAGGAGCTGGGGGTGGGAGGCAGCCCGGTAGGGAGGGCTGGCTGTGCCACCCAGGAAAGGGGTAGAGGAGTGGGGAGCTGTGGGGGAACACTCACAGGCTGAAGGGGTCCTGCACAGCCATGTCTTTGTGGTCAGCCGAGTAGGCAGGGGGGTCATAGAGCGGGAAGTCCACCTGCGGAGCACGTGGCTGTGTCAGGACTCCCTTGCAACTCTGCTCTGGTGGCAGGCAGGGACTGGGATGTCCAGGGACACCTTATGCCCCAGTGTATTGCTCTGCACAGCTTCTAGCATCACTGCCCAAGTGATGCTCCTGGCTCTGCTGGGGGGTGAGCTCAGGGTCTCGGCTGATGGGATCATGCCCCCATGGAAGTCAGTGCTGGATCCTGTCCCTGACCCTGAGCCAGGGTCAGGAAGTGCAGAGGCAGGTGATTGTACCCTCTGTCTCCAGCCAAGCATCTCCAGGCATCCCTACCACTGCAGATCCCAGCAGCAACTATGCCCTTGTCTCTGGGAGAATCTCAGTGCAGCTGCTCCAGGAAGACACTTGTCTCAGGGCTTGGAAGAACAGCAGCTCCCAAGTGCAATGATGGGTCTATTCCTCCTCCCACCACTGCCAGGGTCTGCCCCACACCCCCTCCTGCCAGCCCCACTGCCTAGGGTCACAGATCTTACCTCCCAGGGCACCTTCTCATCTGGCACAGGGAAGCGGAGGGTGTGAGAGCCTGGGTACAGGAGGTTTCGGGCAAGCACATGGTATGGGGGCCGTCTCTCCTCAGCTTTCCCCTCCAGGTCAGCCTCCTTGAAGTCCAAGGCTCTAGAGGAGCCTGTGGGACAGACACAGACAGCAGGGTCCCACAAAGCAGGACACTGAGTCCGGTACTGCGGACCAGGGCTCTGCCAAGGGGGCTGGCTGGGTCTCTCCATGGGGATGCTGACATCCCCCGAGGACCTGGACCCTGGCTTCCCTTCCAACAGGTCCTGGAGGAAACCTCAGGGAGGGCAGAAATGGCCACAGGAAGGGCTGGATGGCCTCATGGAGCCACCAAAGCTCCCAAGACCAAAGGAATCTCTGCCTTGATGTTGAACAGAGAGGTGCAAGGGGCTGCTCAGCCCTGGTCTGGGGCCCTGGGCTTCCCTGGTGCTGCTGGGGTTGAGTTGTGCTCCACTTACCCACGGCTGGCAGGTCCTCCCCTGAGCTGAAGCCATTGCCCCGCAGTGCCTGCATCATCCACCTCAGGGCCTGGGCACTCTGGTGCACCTGTGGGGGACAGCAGAGGGTCACCCCCCAGGTCCCCCTACCCCTGAGTAGCACAGGATCCAGCCCTGGCAGGTGGCACTGCTGCCCTTGGCACTGACTGCCAGTCCCCATAGGTAGCAGTGATCCTGGCTGTGTCCTGATGTTTGCCTTGGAAAACCATCTCCAGGGAAACATTTTTACAAACCACGTGGAAATGGAAGTGGAAACAGGAGGTGCCAGGGCTGGGTCGGCTCCCTGGCCACCCCGCTGTCAGGGGCGGGGACGGCTTCACAGAGTCCCCATCTCCAAGAGGTCTGGAGGGTCCTCTTAGGCCAAGGAGAAGAGCTGGGTCAGCTCTAACTCTTTGGTGACCAGTGGAGGCAGTGGCTCATCCCACCACTTCCCACTTTGGAGTCAAACAGAACATTCCTCAAAAACCTTTTCCACTTGGATGCTAAGGGCAATGAAACTCAAATTGTCTGAAGGGGTATTGATTCAGACAGGTTTTGTGCTCTGTTCAGTTGACTCGGCCCCTGGAAAATATTACCTTTCTTGGGTAGTTGCTCTGTTTTTGCCTCACCTGGTCTTCCAGAGAGCCCAGTCTCTGCTCCACCACCCCCGTCCTCTTCACCCGGTCCAAGTCCAGCAGCTCTGCCAGTACATCAACCCTGGAGGGACAGTGCAGATCGCAACCCCCTCAGCAGCCACTCCTGCACTGATCCCAACTGTTCCCTGCTCAGGGTGCCGAAGGATGGAAGGAACTCTCTGTCTCAGGAGTGACTACCTCTGTGCAATGTCCCGGATCATCTGCTCTGTGTTCTGTTTCTCCTGGCACTGCTGGTGCTGCAGGTAGTTCTCCTTCAAGAACATCTCCCATGAGAGGAGGGCAGCTTCCTCGTTCTTCTCCAGCTTCTCCTCTGCCGGAAGAAGGGGATGGCAGTGCCGTCAGATCTCTGGGCATCTCAAACCCCAGGACCACAGCCCAGGTGCCCAGCCTCGTGCCCTGAGGAGGGGGCAAAGGGCAGGAGAGGGAGGCTGGTCCTCACTGAGTTTGTGGTGTGTGGCCGGCCGGCGGAGCAACCCACGCCGGACCAGGAGCTGCAGGTGGTTGAGCAGGATGAGGGGTGGGGGCGCGGGCGGGCGGCCGTGGTACTCCTCAATCAGGTCGTGCCGCTGGAACTTCCAGATCTGGTCCGTGTGCTCCTGGACCTGCTGGAAGGTGTAGCTGGGGCAGAGCCCAGGTGTCAGCCGTGCCAGGGGGGTGAGGGGGCACATCATGTCTGAATGGTGTCCCAGCTCCTACCCATCTCCCTGATCAGCCCTGACCCACAACTGCTACTTCCATCACATCTATAACCCCCCAAGCGGGATCCCGCTACTTCCACCAGATCTCTAACCCCTCAGACTCACTTGAACATGGCAATAAGGAGATTGAGGAGGAGGATGTTGGTGAAGAGCAGGTACAGGCACAGCAAGATGACCGTCAGCCACTCTGGGAAGATGGGCTTCTTGTTGTCCGCGTTTGTCTCTGGGCACTTGGGCTTGTAGGGGTCGGTCCCGTTGGGGCTGCACTGGTCGATGTTGAAGTTGACCCCTGTGGGAGGGCACAACATGACTCTGTGGCGACCAAACCTCAGGGTGTCTCAGGGAGCACCAGGCAGGGATTTGACTTCCATCTGCCACATCCCAGGTGCTCTGCTCACTGCCACCTGTTGGGAATTCCATGGGCCAACACGGCATGATTTTGGTACATTGGCCTTGTCACAGCCACCCTGCTCGTGCCATGTGCTGTCACAGGCTGGAGTCCCTTACCATCGATGTAGGAAGGAATCTGCCCAAAGATGGTCAGGTAAGAGTGGTAAACCACGCCACGGAAAAGCCACTCCACACGCTCCTCGTTGTGGATCAGGATAGCCTGCTTGGCCACCCCAAAGGACACCACCCACACTGCCAGCAGGAAGAGGAAGAAGAAGACATCCTTCATCTGCAAAGACAGAGGGGAAGGACAACTGTGTCCTCGAGCAAACTCCTCTCCAGGAGGGGATAACAGGGGTGGCACATCCGGCTGCTCTAGCAGGATGGTCCAGCATCACCCTGGCAGGATTAAAGGGGAGCTCTCACCATGCGCTTCACAATTATGATCTTGGGCCCCAGCGTTTTACTGACTGTGAAAATGTGCATCAGGCGCAGGCAGAAAATGATAAAAGCCAAGGACAGTATGATACGCCCGGGATATAATGTCGATGGGATCAGCCTGGGCACAGAAGAGAAGGAAGGAAACACCTCAGTGCCACCAATGAATCACATAGAATCATTTAGGTTGGAATTACTGTGAGCGTGGTGAGGCCCTTGCACAAGTTGCCCAGAGAAGCTGTGGCTGCCCCATCCCTGGAAGTGTCCAAGGCCAGGTTGGACAGGGCTTGGAGCAACCTGGACTAGTGGAAGGTGTCCCTGCTGTGGCAGGGGGTTGGAACAAGATGAGCTCTAAGGCCTCTTCCAACTCAAACCACTCTGTAATTCCATGATTCTATGAAAATACTATCGAGCCCTGCAGCTTACCTGCAAGTCAGCCCTGCGATAAAGACTAGGATGGCGCAGATATCCAACTTATTCCAGAAGTCCTTGATGTACAGGGAAGCCATTTTCACAAGCCCAAGCCCATCTGGATCATACAGCAGCTGTTGGGAAGAGAAGAGGAGTTGGGTGTAAGATACTCATGTGCCTCACAGAGGGGAGGGATCACAGAGATCAGCTGGCCATCACTGGACACTCTCGCTGACCCGAAGGTAACTTAAGCCTATGGCCTTTTCTATACAGGCATGGAAGGAACATGGGGACACCTGGGACATGGGGGTCTTCAGGCTGGGGGAGAAAGGCACTGAGGCATTGAAGCAAAAACTGAAGAAACCTCGAGTATCAAGCAAAGTGTGGAGATGCTGCGGGGAATTCACCCAAGGAAGGAGGTGAGTCCTCCATCTCCTGACATTCCCAAAACCCCCATGTTCTTCTGCATGTGCACATGGCTAGGTCAGGTGCAGCCAAGGAGATTCTCCAGCCTCTGAGATGGGGGGATCTGGTGGTTCCATGTGCTGGGGGGACCTCTCCGAATGGATGGTGACACGAGAAGCAGCATGGGAACGTGAGCTGCTCAGGATGTCCCAGGAGCCCCCAGAGGGGTGTCTCTCCTCCTCTGCCACCTCCCAGCCCTGGCTCTGCCTGCCCCGCACCTGGCGGGTCTCCTCGCACACCAGGGAGAAGAGCCAGAAGTAGATGAGGTATTCCCGCCAGGATGGCGTCGGCTGGAAGTCAACCATCAGGACGTACGCGAAGAGCAGGAGGAAGGTGAAGTAAGAGAGGATGTTCATGAGGAAGATGACGACGGGCGCTGTGAAGAAGGCTCGGAGGCGTGTCAGGCAGCCCATGGGCTGCAGCCTCTTCTCCCTGCTGGGAGCAGGGGGGTGTGGGCTCAGCTGCCCAGCGAGATTCTACGGCAGCTTCCTCCAGTCAGCCACAGGGTGAGGCTGGAGGAAATCCCTGTCTCCCTGCATGCGTGCCCCAGCTGCCAGAAGTACCTGAAGGTGATGAGGTTGGTGTAGAGCAGGGGGAAGAACAGCATGCATGTGATCACCCGCCAAAGCCCATTGTCCACACACAGCTTCCCCCACCAGACCTTGGTGAGAAAGGCCTGTGAGGAGGGAGGAAGAGGAGTGCTGGTTACAGGGGATGAAGGGCAGAGCCCCACTGCTGCCTGCAGAGAACCCTGGATCTTGGGGACACTTGGACACGTCCCCTCCCAGCACAGCTGCTGGGAACCCACCTGGACTCCCCCGTGGGACACAAAATTCATGTTCTTGGCCTCCAATGCCAGCTGCAGACAGGTTGTCTTCCCCCAGGCTTCAGAGACACGGGTGAGAAGCTTCTGGGCTCTCTCTTCATCCTTACGGTAGCAGTCTGTGAACACGCCTGCACGGGCAGGTACCAGGGAGATGAGGCTGAGTTCCGGGACAAGGCACCCACAGAGTCACCCTTTGCAGCAGGATCAGGACATTGCACCTCACAGTGGTACTCCCTGCGCTCCCACCACCACCTGGCACAGCCCTTGGAGCATCATGACCTCGATTCTGATGATGGGACCCCCCCATCACCCCCAGACATCTCCTGGGCGAAGTTTGCCAGCCCTATGGGGTGCCCTCCTGCTCACCAATCGCCTTGTGCTCGAACTGCTCAGCCAGGGCCAGCATGTCATCGGTGGTGTCTGTGTCCTCCTCCTCCTTGGCCAGCTCCTTCAGGATCTTGCTGCAGGCGAGTGCAGCTGCCATGCAGTCCTGGCTCTGAGACAGAAGAGGACAAGGAGAGCGTGGACACTCTGTCTGTCAAGTTCCATCAGTCCTGCCAAGCCCTCCCCAACTCCCACAGGAGGGAAGGTGGGTGTCCCGAGCAGACTGGCACTCAGGATGGACAGCTTGCCGTGACAAAAGCTCAGCTGGGCTCCTCTCTGGGTAACCCACTGCCACAGGGAATACAGGGACAACCCTGCCCTCCTCATGGGATGCATTAGGTGATGGGATGGAGTGACTCCTCAGCATGCTCACCATGCCACCAGCCACACTGCCTCTTGTCTTGGGGTGCTGTTTATGGGTGGAAGCCTTCTCCAACCCAGCTGCCGTGCCCCTGTGTGCTCAGCCCTCTCTCAGCCTGTGCAAGGACTAGCCCACTTCTGGCTCAGAGCATCCCCTCTTTCCATTTTGGCCAGGAAGGGAGGGATCTGGCCTCATGGTGTAGCTGGGGATGGACACCAAGTCCCCTCAGGCTGTCTTCCCTTTGGCTGAGGTCAGGCTTGGGACAGCTTGCCTGCTATCCCAAATCCCAGCAGGCGCCACTGTTGCCCTTGGGGCTAGAAGGTTTGGCTCCACCTGAGCCCCTCAGCCATGACCACCAGCTCTAGGCTGTGATACCTGGGCCCAGATGATTTCTGCCAGCTCCTTGCGGTTCTGGACCACAGCCCAGATGAGCAGGTCTCGGACAGGGTCCATGGTGAAGGTGACTCGGCCGGCAGAGCGCTTGTAGAGGGACCGGAGACTCGACCCCTGAACCTGCAAGGTGTGTGATGGTCAGACCTGTTCCCTCAGCACAGAGCCACCCAAACCCTGGGTACTGTGTCCACCACCCATGGAAGGGACTTTGCCCATATAGAGGGGTGGCCAAGACTGGACTTATCTTGGAAATGCCGGGATCAGGTGGAGCTGTGTACCCACCCCACTGGGTCCTGCCCACCAGTCATGCAGCCACATGGTGCTGCAGGTGTAGGAGGGTGAGAGTTGCACCTGGAATGCAGGGCGGATGACTCGGGCAGGGCTTTAAGGGTTTTTCAGTAGGATTATTGAGCAGACAAAGAGGTCAGAGACCCAGCTGCAACCTCCAGGACGGCTCCCTGAGCTGGTGTCCCCTCCCCACTGCAACCCTGCCATCAGGTAACCTGGAGATGCGTACGTTCAGCTTGATGTGCGGGACGGGGATGGAGAGCCGGGGCCGCTCCGTGTGCTTGGGCTTGGGGTACAGAGGCTGTGTGGAGCAGCCCAGCAGCTCCCGCAGCACCTGGGAGACGTGGTGCAGCTGGAGCCTTGGCATTTTGGAGCCGGCCGTGTGCTCCCTCTCCTCCAGCAGCACCTTCTGCAGCTTGCTGTGGAACAGGCAGGATGGTGCCAGGTTGTCATACAGGTAAACCAGGGTGTCCCAGGTGACAAAATCCTTGAGACGCACTCCCTGCTCCAGGAACAACTTCACAAACTCTGGCTTGTTGGAAATCAGGGCAGCTGCCATCACGGGGTGGAGATCTGTGGGCTGGCAGGCCAGAGGCAGAGGTGAGAGGCTCCATGGTCTCAGAGCAGAACCCCACCAGGCTCCTCACTCAGGGAAGATTTTATCCCTGAGTGCACAAGGAGTTTCTGGATGTGAAAGAGCATCTGAGAAGTACTAGGACTTGTGGGACATCTCCAGAGACACACTGGTGGATTAGTACACTCGCTTCTCTGGCAGTGGAGCCCTCTGCTCGCTTGGCTGCCGGGTGGAGGGATGGATAGAGCAGAGAACAGCTTTCCCAAGTTCATGAATATCACACAATCAACAGAATCACTTGGTTTGGAAGGGACCTTAAAGCCTATCTCATTCCAACCCCTGCCATGGGCAGGGACACCTTCCACTATCCCAGGTTGCTCCAAGCCCCATCCAGCCTGGCCTTGAATACTTCCAGGGATGGGGCATATACCCCCAGATATTTCATTTTTGGATTCCTAGTTCCCTCCAGCTCTTCCCAGTCCCACCAAAGGTACATGACCTGGGGGAACCCAAACTGGTGACCAAAATTGGAAAATCCCACAGTCCCACAGATCCATCAGAAAGGACTGATAAACCTGCTCAGCTTTGACCTCTGCTTGGGAGCACTTTTGAAAAACAGGAGATATTAAGAGCCCTTGGCAATGCAGTGGGAGCTCTAAAACTCTCCCCAAGCACAGCTGAGGTGAGAAGTGTCCTCCATATCTACAGTCCTGACAAGCTGTTAAGCCTGACCAGACAAGCATCACAGATACTGCCTTACTTTCCAGTCATGGTCATCTGTGAAGATCTCACTCCGGGCAATGTCCACCCTGTTCCAGGCCACAGCTAACTTCAGCTGGTGATCCCAGTTCTCACGACCAAAGTGGTCCTGGTTTCGGGATGCTGCATGCAAAGTGCATATGTTAGAACAGAGGATCAACCTTGGAGGTGTGGCCCTTTGTTATAA